CAAATGAAGAAGAAACGGAGATGGCAGAAACGCCGAGCAACGTAGATAAGGGATCCCGTGTTGAGTAATTACAACAAAAAGCACGGTTTAAGCTTCTTTAGGCTAGATTAAAGGGAGTTTGTCATCCTTTCGCAAGTTCTTTCTCTGGTGTCTTTCTTAGGGTTTAAAAAAAAACCCAAAACTTAAGACTTGGCAGCTCTAATTAGAATAGCGTTTCCAGGGAAAGATGCTTTCCAGCCTCAAAACTTAGGGGGGGGGTGTGGGTGTGTTCTGTTGTCCCTTACCAAAGTATGAACTTTCACTCCTGCTAAATATATCGGGGTGCCGACTGTCAGCAGAGAGAAAAAACAACTGGATTTGTATGGAGGCATCTCTTAAAGGTTACATTGTACTGGAGAGAGGCAAAACTGAAGCAGGCGTTAGTGCTTTTTTTTTTTTTTTCTGCATGTATTATTTTCAGTGTAATTAGGAACCAGATAAGGAATTTTTCAGTAGGGGAAGTTCATAACTTCCTGGTACTAGCTAGCTTTTGTCGTCGTGTGTTGGGGTTTTTTTTTTTTTTGGTTGTTTTTTTTTTTTTTTTTTTTTTTTCCTTTTGGTTGCTGTTCTGTAATGTAACACGATAGTAAAGAGGAAGTTTGTGAGCAGTTTTGTCTCTCTGTTAGAGCCTGTAGGGTTCATGGAGTCCTAGGTAGATTACCGCTTTCTAAAATAAAAACGTGTTTACGCTTTCAGTTGTTTTAGATTGAGCTAGAATGCGCTATAACACGTCTTCCACCGTCGTCTCCTTTTGCCTGAGGTGTGGCAGAAGGTTATAAGCGTATAGATTGTTTGCTCTTGCTTTTCAGAAATGGCTATTGCCGTGGAGGACGTAGGGTCACCAGTGATCCGTACAGAGCAGCGACATCAAAAGTTGAAGGGCGACGCTTTTCCCATCTGTGTCTCGCTGCAGTCGCCTCGGATCACAGGTTTCAGGGTGATACTTTCACATCTTCCACAAAGACCCGCGGCTACTTTGCTTTCACGTGCAGATGTTGCTGGAGAGTCTGTTCGCGGGGCGCTCCTAGTCGTGGAAGAAAATTACCGCTCGTGTAGCGGCTCCAGAGCCCACTTCCTTTGAGCGAAGGAACGAGGCAAAACCTGCGAACCCTTGATCCCGTTGTCGCTCTGCTTGGTGGCAGCATGTCACGCTTCCTCCCTAATGGCACAGGCCACGTTAAACTGTAAACTGGCCCAGGTTTCTCGTCGTGGAGAGGCCCGATGGAAGTGTCGTTTTGAGTTTTTGGGGCTGTCCTTTTGTTCCTTTTTGTATTGCTCAAAAGAGTTTAGAATAAGCCAACCCTCAGTTCTTGAATGAGTATAAGCTGGTTGGACTCTTGGAGCTGTTACTGCTTTTACCTATTCTCCTTATGTGTGTAATTGGGATGCTCGATCCCCTGTATTCTCTTTTAAATGATTTAGCATAGTGTTCAGGGCACGGGGGAATTAATGATTTTATAGCAAAAAGTAGAAGAGGCAGGTTGTAATGCGTAGGATAATGTTTCTATTGCTAGCGTGTGTATAGGCAATTATATTAATTACAAATGGAAATGAAACTCTTAAGCACTTAGATGAAGGATTAGCTAGATTTTTGCTTTTCTTCCCTTTCAAATGCTTTTCCGAGTAGTTGTGGGCAGGTAGGTAGTACGAGTAGCCCTGTGTTTCTCTTCCAGAATCAGTGAAAGAGAGTTTGTTTTTTGACGTAGCTCATATTTGTTTGACAAACACAGGAAGAGCTGAAGAGGACAGCTCTTCAGCAACTGTGTGGGAACTAACAGACCTCTGTGTGTGAAAGCGGACTGTGAAATAGTTAAGCTGTGCCACTTCACAAGCACGTTGCTCATTTACAAAAATAGGGAACACCGAAGAGACCTCCACTTCGCTGCAGGGTGCTGATAATACCTTTAGTTCGTGCAAACCCTTCTATGTGTTTCCTCTCTACACAAAAACACGATGACGCTGATAATCGTGGTAGAGGTGATAACGTGATTCTTAAATAAAGTGAGAGAGAACTGGGGTAAAATCAAGTTTAATGTTTAATCTCTGGAGGCTACCATGTCATTGAGCTTTACTTTCCCACAAGCACACCTGCTGTGAAGCAGTGGGTTTGCCTTCAATGACATTTGTTTCAACCACAGCCTTGTAAGGATCACCGAGCCCAGCGTTTTAAAATAAAGTGCTCTTAATCGGTGAGAAAAAAGTCCTCTTAAGCATTAGTAGAGCATGGAGGGAAATCATTGGTTAAAGCAGAGAGAGTCAAAGACTTGAAGTGATTGTGTTCTATAGTAGTTTCGAACAGCAAGGGTCTAGCTAGTTTTGACAAGTAAGTAATCTGTGTGGGTGTACTGTGCGTCCGGTTAGCAGCTACGTAAGCACGTGCATCTTCGAAGTAAGATGATTAGTAGGTGCTTTGCTGCAATTTTGTCATTATAACTTCTAAAATAGATTTTTAATTTAGTATATGGATGCGTGTCTCTATTTGTGGCATACCGCGTTACGTAGGAATGGAAAGGTGAGATTCTTTTCTCTCCTCAACTGCACGATGGAAAGGGGGGGCCGGCTGATGGGCAGCAGCCGCTCCTCACTGCTGGCAGGAGTCCTCTGTTGTCGCGTCCGCTGGGCTGTGCTGGTGAATACAATAGCATAAGTAAATGTAAGTGTGAAAGTTAAATAGCCATACGCTGGCGTGTGAGCTTGGTTTTGTGAGAAGCTCAGACTTCTGCTCTCTCTTTGAAACCAGCTTTATGACATTTCTAGGCTTTTTTGTCACCGATGCCTGTCCCCCCACCCTTTGGTGGTCTTGCTTATTTTCCAAAAAGAGAAAATAGGCAAAGCTTATCTGAAGGAGGGTCAGATAAAATCTGGGAAGTTTCTAGAGAAGGGACCATCCTTGTAAGTTACTGGACCTAGAGTAGCGGCTAATGCGTATTTAATGTGACAGCTCATGGTCTATTTTCAGAAAAGTATTTTAAAATCTACTTGATGGGAGGTGATCAGTTTAGATATTGCATTTTGATTAATTGTTAAAAAGGAATATAGAGAGTCCTAAACCGTAGTTCTGAAATGTTTGGCACCAAATGCAGCCCAGAGCTGAAATGCATTGTGCCTTTTTAAAAGGCATTCAAGATTTGAAAAGACACGTGGTGTTGAAGACAATTCCAGCCTCAGAGCTGCTTTCACATGCTGCCATTTCACAGTTGTCTGTAGGTGTTTTACAGTTCAAATGTGCGTTCAGGTAAGACCAAGGTGACATCTCGGAGAGGTAGTTCTTTCCGTCCCTTCTCTGCTTCTCCCAATTAGTTTATCTTTTAGGTTGTAATATTTTCCTACTTTTGAGTACGAATCCCTGTAGCACTGGAAATGTTTTGCAATCAACAAATCCCAGGCATGAAGTTCAAGCTTTGTGTTGGCAGATATACCTAAGTCATTGTAGGTGCAACAAAAGAGAAGCTTTTATTATGGAGTTGAGATTGGAAACCACCTATTTGCCAAAACTCATATGCGATGGACCTTAGGCTGTGCAGACCTTGGGCAAAGGGGAGTAGAGGATCTTTTACCCTTTTAGCATTTTCAATATATTTAATAAGTATTTTGCTTATTGTGTTGAAGTCCAAGCACTTTTTTTTTCCAGTGCTGTGCCACAGGATGTTGCCTGTCATGTTTGTTTGTGATGCTCAACCTTGCTTGAGTAGGATGCTATTATATGAAGATGACAGAGAGCTCAGTAGACATTTCCATAAGCTATGTTGTTCTGATCATGCAACACCATGATGATTCAACTTCTACAATATTTACTTACCCTCTATTATTTGTTTTTCACATGCCATCCCACTGTTGTCACGGTTTGATTGACTATCCTGTTTGATGTTCTCAGTAAGATATATTAAACAGCTTGTTACTGTCTGGCAGTAAAACATCGCTTGAAAAGTACTTCCACTCTTGCTAAGTTAATGTGTTTCTAAACCCCCCATTTAAGAGTTCTGCTCTCTCTTATTCTGGTCTGTCACTCATGTTTCCTGAAAACCTCTTTTTGACAACTGCCCAACAGCTTTGACTGGGGCGATACTGCAACCAGAAGCTAGCCCCGTGGGAGGTGGGCAGCTCAAGATGTAGAATTCAATACCAGCAATCAGGTATTTTCTGAGCCTGCAGTGATGGTATTGAACCCAGTAGGGTTTTTTTTTTGCATAATTTGCATAGTTTCTGCTTCACTATAATAGGAACTAAATCAATCAATTCTGAGGAAACATCTTCACTTTCAGAGGACACTTAAGAGAATGTGGGACTGACAGTACCTGTGCTTTGAGAGGACAACTGTGCCTAGAAGTGTATTATAATTAAAAATATCAACCATTCCTGCAAAATAATGATTTGTTTTCTGTTTTATAAAATCCTCTTTCATCAGACACATACTCTTGAATAGCTAAAAGCAGCTTAGCTCTAGGTGAGATGGAGGGGAGGGCATCCTTTGCTAATTGCTTAGATGGCATTGATACTCAAGGCTTCATTTAAAATCTGGTCCCTTTCATTTAAAATCTCTCCCCTCACCCCCACCTTTGACGTGTGCATGCACATAAGAAGAAGGGTAGCTTGTCTGAGAAGGTAGACCAAGTGGAAAGATGGTCCTATCAATCAAAGAGTCTGGGTTTTCTAATTCTTACATCTTCTGCTGCTTGTTAAGCCCTACCGTGTACTAACATTGAAAATGTTTTGGTTTTAAGGTGGCTCTGAGCCCTACATTGAAATGTTTGAACAACCCAGGCAAAGGGGCATGCGTTTCAGATACAAATGTGAGGGAAGATCAGCAGGCAGCATTCCAGGAGAACACAGTACTGAAAACAATAAGACGTTCCCTTCCATACAGGTAAATACCGCTTTTATCCATGAATTACCATTGCCCGCATTAACATCACGCTGTAGCTATGCGTTGCACTCGGTGCAGTAAATAAAATGCTTTTAATTTCATGTTCTGTTATTCTTTCCTTGGCATGCAAATGTAGTTGCAACAGAGTGGAAAAACAGTTCTTTGCTCCTAGTCATTAAAGATTTTCTTTCAAATTTACAAGAAGAGGAGAAGGTGTCGGGGTAGTTAACAAGGTGCTGGTAGAGAGGGAATTCGGTCAAGTTACTCATTGTCTGGGAATCATTCATTATTAGCTTTTTTGTATGCACATTTGTTCTGGTGCCTTAGTTATGTGACTTGGGTTTGGTTTTACTATTTGGACTGCAGTATGACTTTTGGGAGGGCTTTGAAGGAGTTTGTGTACAAAATCTGAAAAGGCTTTGAAAAGCTGCTGGGCGCAAAATGAAAGGCGGCACTTTGTACAAGTGAGCAAAGTAAGAAAGTGACTTAGAGACAGTGATTCAGTGATTAGGCTCTGCAAAAGAAACTACCATGAAGTATGTGAAGTCAGAAGGGGATACAGAATTTAAAAACGAGCTGAGAAAGGGGAATTATGTAGTCAGAGCACCTGCAGTGAAGACAATTTGGGTGGTTGCGTTATGGATAGGTTGGGAAATCCAGAATGAAGGGATTCAGAGTAGCCCTGGCAGCTGTGATCAAAGCAGGGACAAAAATACAGGCAGTAGAGGTGGAATGGAAGCACTTTGGCAGTAGCTTTCCCATGTGGGACAGAGGAATGTGTCAGAGACCCTAGACAGGTAGGGTAAGGGAGGAGAATTTCTGGTCTCCTATTTGAAGTTTAAGTTGCTAGTGTTTCCTTGAGCTCTTCTGATTTGGAGAAAATCTTTCAGAGGTTAGATTAGAAGAGAAAGCTCAACTATAAATGGGAAGTTACAAGTACTTGCCATCTTGAAGTACGTTCCAGTGCCCAGGAACAGAAGCTGTGTATCTGTGTTTGCAGTGGGTGCAAGTATTAAAAAAAAAACAGTGGAGCCAAAGATGGACTCTTTGGAATCACAGCAGGAAAAGAACAGATACAGAGGACGTGAACTCTGAAAAGTATGAGATGTTTTAGGCTGAGGCATAAAAGCTCTTCAAAAAGAGAGAGAGTTTGAGAAACATAGCATTGGCAGTGAGCCTCTACTACATAAAGCAACTGTGGAAGCTGGTCTAGCCCTGAAGCCAGAATTACTAAGGGAAAAGGCAAACAAGAGGGTCCCCCCCTTGACTATCACAGTGCCAGATTTGGTTAAGGAATGCAGGAAACGGAGATCTTGCCAGACTCTTTTTTTCAGCACTCTACCAATTGAACAAGGAACTACGTAGGCTGCTGGCAAGAGTAAATACTTTCAGACTCTCAGCCTAAGGCTGTGTCAGGGCACAAGCTGAGCAGCCTGGACTACGCTGCACATGAAGGCCAGCCAGAACCCGAAGGGAAGATGGGACATGGTGGGTGACCGTGCAGTCCTGGCATAGTTTTTTCTTTTTTAAAGGTGACTGGTGATGACAGAGCTGATTGTTACCGATAGCAGGTGATTTCTAGGTGAATTCCTGCCTCCCTGAAGCCCGTAGGAGGCTTTAGTGCTGATTAGCTGCTAGGGGAGTCCCCTCTAGAGATGGAAACATCAATGAGGATGAGAGCAGAGAGGCCAGGAAGAGATTAAATTTCATGATGCGGTTGAGATGAAGAACATCAAGGAGGAACTGGAGAATCAAAAGCGGCTAGATCAGGCTTCAAGTTCAAGGGACTGGGTGTGAAATGAGGGAGAAATGATGTAATAGTTGAAGGTGAAGGAGTGGTGGAAGTTTTATTTTAAGGGCAAAAAGTAATGGTGGCTTGTATGAAGGGCAAGAAAGGAGCCAACTTGGAGACTGACGAAGCCAACAGATGATGGAAGCTAGAAGAGCACAGGTCAAGTCAGAGGTTTGAGGTATCATCTGAAAAGGATATATGGTGGATCCTTGGAGTCTCAGGAGGAGGAAAGAAAGGGCTGAAGGAGGAGAGGAACAGTTAGTTACAGGGCAGGGGAAGTGGAGGAGGAGAGCTCGCCTCTGCACAAACGTGTGCCTGAGCCAGTCTTGTATTTGCTTTCAAGTTGTTATGCTTCAAACAATTTAGGCCAAACTGGTTTTTTTTTGGGTGGTGTTTTTTTTTTTTTGTTTTACACTCACCCACACAACCCTTGCTGACTTCACTGGTAGCCATCAGCATGAGGGAAGACTTCTGCATCTGAGAAACGTGTGTTGAATTAGGCTGACAACGACTGCTGTGAAGGCTCTAGTAGGAGCTTGAGAATTCAGTGCCCCCCTTCTTGAATCTAAGATTGAATATTCATCTGAGAATTAATTAAAAAAAAAAAAAAACACACAAAACCAACAGAAATCTCATAGGGGATTATGTCATGCTGTATCTGTTAAGATTCTCTTTCACTACTTAGTGTTCCATGCACAGGTAATATATCCTTATCCCTGAGGCTTTAGGAGTTTTTCCCTAAGATCTTTGGAGCTAGACCTGTCCCTCAGTAAGCGTTTGTATGTGGTCACCTATGTAGAATTTTGCATCTTTCGTTGCGAAGCTAGAGACAATAATGAAATATGTCCTGTTACATTTGGTCTTACAGCATTACAAGCTGTTTTAGGTCTAAGCTTCTATATTACCTCTGGCCTTTTGCACAGGGGTGAATTCATTTTGTATAAAGAGCCCTGGTAAGACGGTGAAGCAATAGACCTCCAGCCAAAAAAAAAAAAGAAAAAAAGAAAAAGAGGAAAGAAAAAACAAAAAAAGATTCTTTAGAGTTTGGACTTCCTTTGCATTCTTGCAGTAGGGTAGTTTAAGAGAACTGAATGGATTGAATGTCAAATAATGGCACCAGTGAAATTTTATCATTACAAATAACCAGCTGCTTTGGCAAAACTAGCAGGTGAAGTATGTTGTTTTACTTTCTGAAATAGATGAGATACAGTTTTGAAAAAAAAGTTACTTTTCAAGTATTTTGCCGAACAGTTGGGTTTTTAGTTAAAATGAACAGAACTGAAATGGAATGAACACAACTAATGAATGGTCCTGGCTTTTATGAAGCAATAATGCCATTTTCTTAGCTGTGGTGTTTCTTCCGAAGCGTATTTTAGGATAAATTATGTTTTCTGTTATATGTGGGGACTTTACTAGCTGTGGTATCTAAAATGTAGAAAATATCTCGCATTTTTTGTAGATTCTGAACTATTTTGGCAAAGTCAAAATAAGAACTACATTGGTAACAAAGAACGAACCCTACAAGCCACACCCTCATGATCTGGTTGGAAAAGACTGCAGAGATGGCTACTACGAAGCAGAGTTTGGGCCAGAACGGCGAGTCCTGTCGTGAGTAATGGTGTTGCTTAGGAGTTTGATTAATTATGCAAGTGATTTGCTAATCTTTATGTTTTAAAACTCTGACTAGTGATTAAAAGGGCAATTAGTATGCTGTCTTTGCTGAAGGTTACTAATCCGTCTCAAGAGAGAGGGCAACTTCTCTTTGAAGTGTTTCCTTCTTTTTTCAAGACTTCACGCACTCATCTTTGGTCTTGTTCTTTTCCTATCACTATCACCCTTTTCTTTCCTTTGTTCATTCTCCTGATGCCTGTTTCCTTTTCCTTTCTCCCACTTGTTTGCTTTTTTTAGCCTCGTTCAGTAACACTTCTTACTCCTACACGTGAAAATGATGACTAACAGAATGGGTAACAGCAACATTAGAATTAGTACTTCACAGTGATTAGGAAAGGTCACGTCTTCCATGGGAATTATATTGGGACTTTCTGGAAACTGGTGGAGAAAGTTTGCACTGGCTGAGTATCGTGTCATTTAGAAGATAACGGTTGTGACACATCCAGAAATGTTAGTAGCTGTCACTGTTGTTGCTGTTTGTTTGGGTTGGGGTTTGTTTGGGGTTTTGGTTTTTTTTGTTTGTTTGTTTGTTGTGTTTTTTTTTTTGAGTAAAAGTACAGATTCTGCTCGGGACCAGTTCTGTAGAGCAAGTGTGCCAGGGAAGGATCTACTTGTAGATACAATAAGGAAAATTCAGGCTTTGTATGAGAGGTGCTTCTCTGTGCTAT